TGTCATAGGCTTTCATGGTCGGAATGACTGAGTTGCTGTGAGTTTTCCGGGCTGTATGGCCATGTTCCAGAAGCATTCTCTCCTGATGTTTCTCCCACTTCTATGGCATGCATCCTCAGAGGTTATGAGGTCGGTTGAAAACTAGGCAGGTAAGGTTTATATATCTGTGGAATGTCCAGAGTGGGAGAAAGAACTTTTTCAAGCAGATTCTAAGGACTGCAGTCCAAAAAAGAAACTTTTCTGCAGAAGCCTGGGAAATTGTGATCCCAAACAACTTTTCTTCTAGTTAGGGTCGAGCAGAGCAAGGAGGGAGAAGCTGAGGATTGTGAGGGCTGTAGTCCAAAGAAAGAAACACCTCCCAACAAAGGATTCTCCCAGGCAGGAAGCAGCTAGACTTTGAAGCTGCAGGGCCATTCAATGCTCAACAAGGTGGCCAATTGCAACATTCACACTTGCCCCAGACAGACAAGAGTTCTTTCTCCCACTCTGGATATTCCAAATACATAAACCCCACTTGCTTACTTTCCAACAGACCTCACAACCTCTGAGGATGCCTGCCATAGATGTGGGTGAAACATCAAGAGAGAATGCTTCTGGAACATGGCCATACAGCCCAGAAAACTCACACAACCTTATGTACAGGCAGCCCCAACTTATGAAAAGGAGAGGTTCTTGTTCTTAAATTGTATTTGGTTGTAAGTCGGCGGACTTACATTTTTAAGTGTACCTCCAGGCAAATATATATATTTAGCTTTGGATCACATAGGGAAGGGTTAATATCCCATGTGGAGTTTGTTTTGCTACCTGGGCCCCTGTTCAGAAGGTTTTCCTTCACTTTCTGTCCCTGTGAGAATTGGATTTGGGAAAATGTGGCTTGTTGTGGGAACAAGGATTAGGAATAGAGCTTCAGTGGAGACCCTTTCTCCCCATGATAATAAAAGAGGGGACATATGTCTCCTGTATATGTCATCAGTTGGAGACCCCTCCCCTCAGCACCAACTGCCACTCTGAGCCAGAGTGAAGGGAAGGGGGCAGGGGGCAGTTCCACCTTGTCTCCTGTGCTGTACTAATAATATAATGTAATGTAATGTAACATAATATAATGTAATATAATATATTGTATATACATATAATATTTATAATATTACTAGCTGTATCCTCCACCCATTGCTGTGGCCTTCAGAAAACAGAGGAATTCCAGTTGAAGTAGTACACAGAACAGAAGGGACAGATGGAAGGGACATTGACAGATGGAACAGAAGGTAGATGGATAGAACATTGATAGATAGATAGATAGATAGATAGAGTGGTAGAATGAGTGATTGATGGATGGATGGATGGACAGACAGCTTTACAGCCAGAGGAGGTTGGACTGGATGGCCTATGGGGGCCCTTCCTATACTCCAAAGGGTTTTCCCATGCCCGTCCTTCCGTGTGTGGCATCAAAGGGCTTCTTCCCTGGCAATCCCCCTCCCTCCCTGGCCTCCCTCCTAGCCACACGTTGCTGTGGCCTAGCCTGGTGATATGGAAAATATTTTAAAAGTAAACAACTAAATACTTTTTAAAATTAAAATACCAACAGTACAATATTTCAAAGTTAATTAAATATGTTTAGATTTAAATGTTGATTAGCAGTCCCTATAATTTTAGAGGTTTTTTTAAAATACTGGTAGCCAGATTTTGTTCATTTTCATGGTTTCCTCCTTTCTGCTTGGGATGCCCACTTCCCATAATATATCTTCAATCCAAGTGGGGGGGGGGGATCCTTTCCTTAATATCTCTCCACTGTCAGCAATTCAGGCCAGTAACTTATACCAGTTCTCTTCTGAAATCTGCTGGGACTCCTCTGGGTTTCTCTTTAAATCTTATTCAATGTTTTGCGAAACAGTCTTCATACACAACTCCACATAAACTGAGTTTATTTATAGATGTCTTGCACAAAAGCTTGTTGGTTACATTTGTATATTAGCGTCTTAGTTGAATATAACATTGTTTCATGACAACTCTCATCCTTATGACTTTCTCCACATAGAAAGATTCACTTGTTAACCATATAATAGCAAACTCTCAACGGTTCTCCACTCACTATCCTGACTATTTCCGTAAATACTCTTACTTAACTTATTCTCTGACCTATATTCATGGTCCCCTAACTTATCCTCATCTAATGGCTTTTCTTCCCTCTCTCTTCTTTCCTCTCTTTCAGAATGTTCAGTTTTTTTCCCCAACTGTCATCCTTAACTCCTTCCTTTTTAAAATTCTGGCATCTGCTCATTTAAATATGACCAATCAGATTCCCTTATGTAAATTAGCTCTGCCCCTACTGCTACTACCCCTTTAAGAATCACAGAATGGCTGGTCCCATTCCAACCCTGCAATATAGGCCATGTTCTAACATTAACTTTTGCTTTACAGTCACTGCCAGAAGGGACAGAGAGTTTCATCTATGCTGATGATCGTGCCATTACTGCTCAAGCAGGGAGCTTTGAGATGGTAGAACAGAAGCTCTCCGAAGCTCTAGGTGCTCTTACTGCCTATTACAGGGAAAACCAGCTGATCCCCAACCCATCTAAAACACAGACATGTGCCTTTCATCTCAAGAACAGACAAGCATCCCAAGCTCTGAGGATCACCTGGGAAGGAATCCCACTGGAGCATTGCAGCGCACCCAAATACCTGGGAGTCACTCTGGACCGTGCTCTTACCTACAAGAAGCACTGCCTGAACATCAAGCAAAAAGTGGGTGCTAGAAACAATATCATACGAAAGCTGACTGGCACAACCTGGAGATCACAACCAGATACAGTGAAGACATCTGCCCTTGCGCTTTGCTACTCTGCTGCTGAGTATGCATGCCCAGTGTGGAACACATCTCACCATGCTAAAACAGTGGATGTGGCTCTTAATGAGACATGCCGCATTATCACGGGGTGTCTGCGCCCTACACCACTGGAGAAATTACACTGCTTAGCCGGTATTGCACCACCTGACATCCGCCGGGAAGTAGCAGCCAATAGTGAAAGGACCAAGGCAGAGACTTCTCCAGCTCATCCCCTGTTTGGGTATCAGCCAGCACATCAACAACTTAAATCAAGAAATAGTTTTCTAAGATCTACAGAGACACTCGCTTGGAACACCTCAGCAAGCAAGAGTCCAAAAGTGGCAGGCTCAAATCCAGCACCTCAATCCGTGGGTGATACCAGATGAGAGAAGACTGGGCGACTTGGAAGGCACTGAACAGACTACGTTCTGGCACCACAAGATGCAGAGCCAACCTTCAGAAATGGGGCCACAAAGTGGAATCCTCGACATGTGAGTGTGGAGAGGAGCAAACCACTGGCCACCTGCTGCAATGCAACCTGAGCCCTGCTACATGCACAATGGAGGACCTTCTTGCAGCAACACCGGAAGCACTCCAAGTGGCCAGCTACTGGTCAAAGGACATTTAATCAACTACCAAACTCAACAATTTTGTATTTTGTCTGTTTTGTTTTGCTTTGTTCTGTTAGAAATGTAATATATTGACTGGTTGCTCTGACACGACAAATAAATAAATGAGGTCAACATGGCTCCGCTTGTTGACCATAGCAGAGCACCTGATGAACACCTGGACACAGCATATTATTTGAGAACACAGAAATGCTGGACCTCTAACAACCACCATGTCAGACTACACAGAGAAGCCATTGAAATCCACAAGCATGTGACAATTTCAACAGAAAGAAAGAAACAATGAAAATGAACATCTAAAATTACAACAAAAAAACAACAGAGAGGAAACAAACAAGGACATCTAATCACCTCTCAACAAAAGATTGCCCCAGGCACTGCCAGGCCATCAAATGCTAATCAAGGTGGTCAGTTGAAACATTCACACCTAGCTCCAACAGACAAGAGTTCTTTGTCCCACCCCGGTCATTCCACAGATATATAAACCCAAATTTCCTAGTTCCAACAGAACTCACTACCTCTGAGGATGCGTGCCATAGATGCAGGCGAAACGTCAGGAGAGAATGCCTCTAGAACATGGCCATATAGCCCGAAAAAAACCTACAACAACCCAGTTTATTCATGATTTCTGCTAGGGGTCGGCTTGAATGATGGCCTAGCCCTGAGGAACTCACCTGTGGGCCCCACCTCCGCCTTTGGGGCCCCAATGTGCCCGGGACCCAGGCTCCTTCCCGGCGAGGAAGAGGCCTCCCCCTCCTCCCCCTCCTCCTCCGGGGGAGCAGAGAGCAGCGTGGCCAGCGCCAGCAAACCTTCCCCAATGTTTAGCTCCGGCTCCACTGCAGCCATGGCGGCTCCCAGCTCTGCTTCCGCGTCCTGGCGTCGCCATGGTAACCACCCGCTCCTTTCATTGGCCGCAGCGCCGCCCAATCGCCGCCCGGCTTATCTCCGCCCCGCCCACTCAACCGCGTAGGCGCGGAAGGAGTGCGTCACAGATTCGCGCGAAGGAAGAGAGAAGCATCGCAGGTGAGTCTGGACCCGGCGGGGCCTTCCTGACGCACTGCCACTCCCATCATCCCCTGGCCCGCGGTGGATGATGCCGGATAGATGTAGCCTCTCTTTGCTTGAGAGTGGTTCTTAAAAAGAGGCCTAATTCTATACCCCATGGTATATAATCATAGAATTATAGAATCATAGAATCCTAGAGTTGGAAGAGACCTCATAGGCCATCCAGTCCAACCCCCTGCCAAGAAGCAGGAATATTGCATTCAAATCACCCCTGACAGATGGCCATCCAGCCTCTGTTTAAAAGCTTCCAAAGAAGGAGCCTCCACCACACTCCGGGGCAGAGAGTTCCACTGCTGAATGGCTCTCGCAGTTAGGAAGTTCTTCCTCATGTTCAGATGGAATCTCCTCTCTTGTAGTTTGAAGCCATTGTTTCCCACATCCTAGTCTCCAGGGAAGCAGAAAACAAGCTTGCTCCCTCCTCCCTGTGGCTTCCTCTCACATATTTATACATGGCTATCATATCCCCTCTCAGCCTTCTCTTCTTCAGGCTAAACATGCCCAGCTCCTTAAGCTGCTCCTCATAGGGCTTGTTCTCCAAACCCTTTAAGGCACTGCAGACTAATTCAACCAGAGAAGTCAGCCATAGCAGAGCACCTGATGAACCAACCTGGACACAACATATGATTTGAGAATACAGAAATGCTGGATCACTCCAACAACCACCATGTCAGAATGCACAGAGAAGCCATAGAAATCCACAAGCATGTGGACAATTTCAACAGAAAGGAAGGAACCATGAAAATGAACAAAATCTGGCTACCAGTATTGAAAAAGCTCTAAAATCAGGACAGTAAATAAAGAACAGCACTCTGAAAACAGGGGAATTCCAGAGAGGAATCAATCAGGGCCAGCTAATACTTCCCAACAAAGAAGCCCTAAACCAGTAGTTCTCAACCTGTGGGTCCCCAGGTGTTTTGGCTTACAACTCCCAGAAACCCCTGCCAGTTTACCAGCTGTTAGGATTTCTGGGAGTTGAAGGCTAAAACATCTGGGGACCCCAGGTTGAGAACTGCTGCCCTAAACGGTTTGGGACCCGCCTACCTTCGTGACCGTATCTCCCTCCATGAACCAACTCGGGCCCTCCGTTCTTCTGGAGAGGTCCTTCTTTTGCCCCAGCTAATTTCACAAGCTCACCTGGTGAATACAAGAGAGAGAGCTTTTTCCTCTGTGGCCCCCCCGACTCTGGAACTTACTACCTGGAGAAATTAGGAAAGTCCCTACCTTAGAAACCTTTAAAAAGGACCTTAAAACCTGGCTCTTCCTCTGCACTTTTGATAAATAGGTTTACATTCTCACACTATTGCTTAGCCTCAACGTTTTGTCATTGGAGTATATGTGCCCCCCCCCTTTTGTGGGAAAGCCTGATTCCACAACGCCCACTATAATGAGTCCTCCGCAAATAATCTGTCTTTCTCTTATCTCTCCAGAGTTTTAATTACTTTTAATCAGTCTCTCTTTAATCATCACATATAGCCCGCCCATTGTCATTGTGATTGTGCCTATTGTAATTTTTTATTGCTGTGTTTTCATATGTTTTATGTAATTTTGTTGTTTATTGTTTGCGTTTTCGGTTTTATTTTATGGTAATTTTATGTTTGGGCTTGGCCTCATGTAAGCCGCTTCAAGTCCCCATTGGGGAGATGGTGGTGGGGTATAAATAAAGTTTATTATTATTTTTATTCCCCAGGCAGGAAGCAACCAGTCTTTGAGGCTGCAAGGCCATTCAATGCTTATCAAAGTGGCCAGTTGCAACATGCACACTTGCCTTAGACAAGAACTCTTTCCCCCACCCTGGACATTATTCCACAGATATATAAACCCAATTTTCCTAGTTTCCAACAGACCTTAGAATCATAGAGGTGGAAGAGACCTCATGGACCATCCAGTCCAATCCCATTTTCCCAAGAAGCAGGAAAATTGCATTCAAAGCACCCCCGACAGATGGCCATCCAGCCTCTGTTTCAAAGGAGCCTCTGCCACACTCCAGGGCAGAGAGTTCCACTGCTGAACAGCTTTCATAGTCAGGAAGTTCTTCCTAATGTTCAGATGGAATCTCCTTTCTTGTAGTTTGAAGCCATTGTTCCATTGCGTCCTAGTCTCCAGGGCAGCAGAAAACAAGTTCGGTCCCTCCTCCCTGTGACTTCCTCTTACGTATTTATACATGGCTATCATGTCTCCTCTAAGCCTTCTCTTCTTCAGGCCAGCTCTTTAAGCCACTCCTCATAGGGCTTGTTCTCCAGACCCTTGATCATTTTAGTCACCCTCCTCTGGACACATTCCAGTTTGTCAATATCTGAGGATGCCTGCCATAGATGTGGGTGAGAGCATGCTTCTGGAACATGGACATACATCCTAGAAAACACACAGCAACCCAGTTTTAAAAGCTGTTTGCTCACAGCTTGTGCATAATCTCACTCAGGTTCAACTTCTTAAGGTAAGGTGGAAGAGAAATAGATTTCTCCACAGTTCCAAGGAGGCATGAAGCATTTTGTTTGGGGTACAGCCACCTCCCCGTCCTATTTCCTCAATGGCAAATTGTCAGAAAGGAAAGTTCAAGTGGGCCAAACACTGCGCAGATGCAGGGAGAATAACAGGAGTGTATGTAGGGCCCAGGAAGAGGAGGGTGTAAACAAACATGGAATTCAGCTCTCAGCAACAACCACCAGTGGGTTCAGCTTTCAAAGGTAGCTCTCTCCAACAGGAGGGGGCCATCCATGAGCTGCACATCAACTTCGGGTTTACTCTGTGGGAACTTTGTATTGGAGAAACCGGGCTGATCCCAGTTTCTCCAGTGGGTTCAGCACCTTGGCCAACAGGCCTTTTGGGGACCCAGAGTTCTTTCTCCCACCCTTGATATTCCACAGATATATAAAGTGCACTTGCCAGGTTTCCAACAGACACCTCAACCTCTGAGAATGCCCGCCATAGATGAGGGTGAAACGTCAGGAGAGAATGCTTCTGGAACATGGCCATACAGCCCAGAAAACACATAGTTAGTTACCCATTGATTCCAGCCATGAAAGCCTTCGACAACACAATAACTTTATTTTTAACCTGCCCTTTCTCCCCGAGGGGACTCTACTCATCTTCCAAAGACAAACATGGCAAACGTTCAATGCCATGTGCAGTGATAGAAATAGAGATAAAACAGAAACAAACAGTTTAAAAATAAGCCAATAAAACAACCTAGATCAAAATATGTAGTCGATCGACCTCATAGATAACACAATAGTCTGATAAAATAGGTATAAAAATAGACACATTTGAGAACATGGCTCTCTAATAAGGTAATATAATCTTTGTCGGTATCGTGAGGCATGATAAAAGCAATAAAAGCTAATCATCCTCCTCTCCAAAGGACAATGTGTAAAAGTATGTTTTTAATTGCTTCCTAAAGGAGAGGAGTGAGGGAGTTCCAGAGGGAGGGTGCGGTCATGGAGAAGATCCTCTCTGTCATCCACACCAGTTGCGCTTGAGACAGAGTTGGGACCAAGAGCTGGGCCTCCTCCACTGACCGCAGTGCCTGTGTTGGTTCACATGTGGAGATACGATTCGTTAATAGCCTGGACCTAGACCATAATATGCTACACCTTAAAGCCTGTTTGACTTTATATACATATTAAAATACAGGAGTTAAAAGACAATGTGGACAAACCAAACTTAGAATCATTGAATAATAGAGTTGGAAGAGAGATACCATGTGGACCATCTAGTCCACCCCCTGCTTAGGGCCCTTCCATACAGGCTCTATATTCCAGGATCTGATCCCAAGCTTCCTGCTTATCCCAGATTATCTGGCAGTGCAGACTCATATAATCCCATTTAAAGCAGAAATGTACTTAATGGAACTGAAAAGAAATGGGACTATCAAGTGGAGTCCACGACATGCGAGTGTAGAGAGGAGCAGACCACTGACAACAATGCAGTCTGAGCCCCACCACATGCACAATATACATATATTATATATATACATATATTTATAATATTATAATGTAATAGTAATTATTAGTACTAGTAATTATTACTAGTAATAATAATAATAATACAATATTTTAATTATATATTTACATTACATGTAATATTACTACTAATATTACAATACAATGATATAGTGCAATATAGTAATATATAATACTGATATTGTACTATGTTAATAATATAATATATTATATGAAAATATATATTGTAAGCCACTCTGAGTCCCTTTCGGGGTGAGAGGGCGGCATATAAATGCCGTAAATAAATATAATAAATATATAAAGGCACTCCAAGTGGTCAGCTTCTAGTCAAAGGAAATTTAGTACAATGCCAAGTTTTTAACATTGTTTGTGGTATTTTATACATTATAACTCTCTTCACAATTGGCTTTTGACACGATAAGTAATTGTGAAGTGATTATAAGTGCGGTGCTTGCACACTGCACTTATTTTAAAATCCGACATACCACCTGTCACATCAGCACTTTTAATCTGTACCCATTACATTTGGCCCAGCCCCAGTTTTATTGTGTTTTGATGTATTGTTTTATTGCTCTGTTGTTTTCGATATTGCTTTAATTGTTTTGATTTGCTTTGAGTTGTGTATTTGTTATGCTATGTTTTGAGGCCTTGGCCTTTGTAAGCTGCATCGAGTCCTTTGGGAGATGCTAGCGGGGTACAAATAAAGTTAATAATAATAATAATTATAATGCTATGAAATCAGCTCTGCCCCCCTCCCCTCCCCTCCAGCACCAACCGCTGCTCTGAGATCAGAGTGAAAAGAGGGGCCAGGAAGGCAGTTCCATCTTGTCTCCTGCACTGTGCTTATAATATAATATAATATAATATAATATAATATAATATAATATTGATAATATTATAATGTAATACAATATACTACTACTAATAATAAAATATTATAATTATATATTTTATATTAAATGTAATATTACTAATAATATTACAGTATAATGTTATAGTACAATGTAATATATAATATTAATATTGTGCTATGATAATAATAATATATTGTATTTACTTTTTACTTGTAAGCCGCTCTGAGTCCCCGTCGAGGTAAGAAGGGCGGCATATAAATGCCATAAAATAAATAAATAAATGAAATGTTGGGTTTTTTGTGTGTCAAGAATGACTTGAGAAACGCAAGTCGCTTCTGGTGTGAGAGAATTGGCCGTCTGCAAGGACCTTGTCGCAGGGATGCCCGGATGTTTTACCATCCTGTGGGAGCCTTCTCTTGCGTCCCTTCATGAGAAGCTGGAACTGACAGACAGGAGCTCACCATGCTCCTCAGATTTGAACCGCCGACTTTTTAGTCAGCAGTCCTGCTGGCACAAGGGTTTAACCCACTGCGCCACTGGGGGCTCCAATTGATATGGTAAAGAGACTTTATGGACACCTGTGTTACTTTCACTGTACTATGTATACTTTGCAAAGATAGCACTGTCCTTTTTCTTTGATGTTTTTCTGGTTGCTTGAGGGTTCCAGTTAAGTGAGAGTCTGCTGTGTGGGGTTTGGGTCCAGGGAGTGTTGCTGTGAATCTAGGGGGCTGCCTTCATCCTTTCCCTTCCTTTCCAGACTCGGTGGCAGCGTCTGTTTCTTCCTTCGGCATGAACCAGTTCAACTTTGCGACCCCAGGGGCCCCTGGCTCCTCCTCCTCTGGAGGGGGTGGGTTCATCTTCGGGACTCCCAAGACGGTGCCCAGCAGTGGGGCCCCCCCAGGGGGCTTCTCCTTCTCTTCGGCCACCTCCGGAACAACAGGGGCAGGAGGGGCCTTCAGCTTTGGGACCCCGGCTCCGGCAGCAGGCACCCAGCCAGCCGGCCTCTTCTCCTTCGCCCCCGCAGCCACCTCCTCCTCTACCCCAGCCCAGACCTTCAGCTTCGGGACCCCTGCTGCTGCTGCTGCTGCTGCTCCTCCTGCAGCCACTCCTGCCGGAAGCATCTTCGCCTTGGGGTGAGGCCCCTGTCTGTCAGGAAATCGTATAATAAAATCATAGAGTTGGAAGAGATCATATGGGCCTTAACATCAGGGGAAACCTTTACCAAGGGAAACCCGGAGGTTTAGCATAGCTGGTAAATCATCAGCAATTAAAAGATCTATCAGCCAAAAGGTTGCAAGTTCGAAGCCACGGGTTGGCGTGAGCTGCCAACTGTCAGCCTAGCTCATTGTTTACCTAAGCAATTCAAAAACAGCTTTAGCTGTGATTAGAGAAATTAGATAGCACTAAATAGTGGGGTGAGGTGTTTTACAACACCATAAAGAAACTAGATCAGAAAATGCTGGGCGACCAAAAGGAAGGAGGAAGTCCTGACGGCTCTTCTTCATAGAGGAAAGAGCAACAGCACCCCCTGAACTCGAGCCCAACCTTTCATGCACCGCCTTCTGTTCTGTCTGTCTGTGTATTATCTATATCAGGGGTCCTCAAACATTTTAAACAGAGGGCCAGGTCACAGTCCCTCAAATTGTTGGAGGGCCGGATTATAATTTGAAAAAAGTATGAATGAATTCCTGTGCACACTGCATTGTTGTATTGTTTTAAAGTGGTTTTTGTAGTCCACTTTAAAACAATACAATAATTTTAACAAATATAAACTTATTAGTATTTCGGTGGGAAGTGTGGGCCTGATTTTGGCTGATGAGATAGGATTGTTGTTGTTGTTGTTGTGTGCTTTCAAGTCATTTCAGACTTAGGTTGATCCTGAGCGAGGGCTGGGTAAATGACCTTGGAGGGTCAAACCCCTGGGCCTTAGTTTGAGGACCCCTGGTCTATACAAAGCAGCATTGAATGTTTGCCGTGTATGTGTACTGTGATCCGCCCCGAGTCCCCTTCAGGGTGAGAAGGGCAGAATATAAATAAAGTGTTATTATTATATTATTATTAAAGGGAGGAAGGAAGTTGAAGAGTGGGAGAAGAGACAGTGTATGAAGTTATTATTAATACATCTGTTTCTTCATATCAGTTACAATTACAAGTATTACCTAAAATACCAAAGAATTCATGTATCCCCTATATCAAAGAGTAATATGGTCACTAAATGTTAAGTTTAATAGTCATATCTGGCCAGAGTGTTCCATGCCTTAGTCACCTCCAGATTAGACTACTGTAATGCACTCTACGTGGGGCTGCCCTTGAAAATGGCCCGGAAATTCCAACTGGTTCAACGGGCGGCAGCCAGACTGTTAACTGGTGCTCCTTACAGGGAGAGGTCAACCCTTCTGTTTAAGGAGCTCCACTGGCTGCCGTTCATTTTCCAGTCCCAATACAAGGTGCAGGTGCTTACCTACAAAGCCCTAAACGGTTTGGGACCTGCCTACCTACGTGACCACATTTCGGTGTACGAACCCACACGATCTCTTCGATCTTCCGGGGAGGCCCTGCTTGCGATCCCACCTGCATTGCAAGCACAATTGGTGGGGACAAGGGACAGGGACTTCTCTGTGGTGGCCCCTCGACTCTGGAACTCACTCCCCAAGGATATCAGGCAGGCCTCGACGTTAGCAGTCTTTAAGAGGAGCTTGAAAACGTGGCTGTTTCAGTGTGCCTTCCCAGAATAGGAAACCACAAGCACTTTACTAGAAATTTAGGTCTGTCCGCATGCCCTACCTATTTGCCAAAATACTTATCCATTTTACCTGGTCATGCCCAGCTTTTTAAAAATTTTAACCATTACATCTGGCCCTGACATTGGTTTTAATTGTGTCGTGTTTATTGTTAATGTTTACTGTTTGATTTTTATTTACTGCTGTATTGTTGTTGTCTTTTATTGTTGTATTGGGTCTCGGCCTATTGTAAGTTGCACCGAGTCCTTTGGGAGATGGTAGCGGGGCATAAATAAAGGTTTATTATTATTATTATTATCTTTATTGAATATTATCCCGCGGTCTTTTTCTTTTTCTTCAGGGGAAATGCTCCCAAACTGAACCTGGGCACAACGCAGGCAACTGGCATCATGGGAGGCTTTGGCATCAGCAGCGGCAGCAGTGGTGGGCTGGCCAGCTCTATCCCAAGCAGCGCCCCAGCCACCCAGCCGGCCCCTCCCTCAGGCTTTGTTTTTGGCTCTTCCACCGGTAGCCAGGCCACCACAGCAGCAGCAGCAGCAGCAGGAGGAGGAGGAGGAGGAGGAGGAGGAGGAGGGTTCAGCTTCAGCAGCATGGGCACCACTCAGCCAACGGCCACTGGGTTCAGCCTTGGCTCGACAGCAAATGCGGTGCAGCCGACACCAGCTACCGGGATAACATTTGGATTAGCACCAGCCAGCAGCGCTGCCCCCACAGCAGCCGCATCCCAGCCTGCGACCGTCTTCAGCCTTGGGACCCAATCCACAGGTGGGAGGCCACTTTCCTTGGGGAAGTCCAGCTAGAGGGGGCCCTCCTGTTGTGGAAAGAGGAGAAAGGTGGCAGGCTGGGGGAGCCATACCTGGCTGATTATTTTTTCGTTCCAGGCTCTGGGTTTGGCTTGCTGACCTCCTCCGCTGCCCCTGCTGCCTCCACAGGATCCATCGCTCAGGCACCAACTCTGTCCTTTGGAGCTAAGCTTGGAGGTAGGTTGGGCTTGTGGTTGGATAATAGAATAACTTGTTGGGCAAGTGGGCTTATTAACAAAATACCCTCTCCATAAATGTACAGCAGAGAAACTTATTAACATGTGGCCTGCCCATTGTTATTGTGATTGTGCTTATTGGAATGTTATTTTATGACTGTGTTTATATACATATATTCTTTTTTCTTGATGAAATTAGATGGTGTTGTTTATTGTTTATGCTCTGGTTTTATTTTGTTGTAATATGTTGTCCGGGCTTGGCCCCATGTAAGCTGCTCCGAGTCCCCGTTAGGGAGATGGTGGCGGGGTATAAATAAAGTTTATTATTATTAACAGCAGCGTGACCCAGCACCAGTAGCCAAAAGTAATAATAAGAACAAAAACACACAGGCCAATGTTATCTCTTCCATAGGCGGATTTTCTTTGTAGTAAAATAATATGGTTGCACTATTTACAAGAACAACAATAAAGTTCTTTACACTTCCTTCTTTGTTTCCACACTGCATTCTCAAGAGCAGTACGTGTGAAAAAGATCTTGGCGTCCTCGTGGACAACAAGTCAAACATGAGCCAACAATGTGATGTGGCGGCAAAAAAAGCCAATGGGATTTTGGCCTGCATCAATAGGAGCATAGTGTCCAGATCTAAGGAAGTAATGCTACCCCTCTATTCTGCTTTGGTTAGACCACATCTGGAATATTGTGTCCAATTCTGGGCACCACAATTCAAGAGAGATATTGACAAGCTGGAATGTGTCCAGAGGAGGGCCACTAAAATGATCAAGGGTCTGGAGAACAAGCCCTATGAGGAGCGGCTTAAGGAGCTGGGCATGTTTAGCCTGAAGAAGAGAAGGCTGAGAGGAGATATGATAGCCATGTATAAATATGTGAGAGGAAGCCACAGGGAGGAGGGAGCAAGCTTGTTTTCTGCTTCCTTGGAGACTAGGATGGACAAGGAACAATGGCTTCAAACTACAAGAAAGGAGATTCCATCTGAACATGAGGAAGAACTTCCTGACTGTGAGAGCTTCAGCAGTGGAACTCCCTGCCCCGGAGTGTAGTGGAGGCTCCTTCTTTAGAAGCTTTTAAACAGAGGCTGGATGGCCATCTGTCAGGGGTGATTTGAATGCAATATTCCTGCTTCTTGGCAGGGGGTTGGACTGGATGGCCCATGAGGTCTCTTCCAACTCTTTGATTCTATGATTCATGCAGATAAACAGCTTCGCTCTCACAGAGCCTCTTCTCACACCGCACCTAAACGGGAGCTTTACACAGTAGCAGCCTTCACTGGAGTGTCACACATGAGCTTTACACACAAGGCCTTCAACCTGGGGCTTCCTCTCACTGAAGCTTCTCACACCAAGCCTACTCGTTCTGAGGCCTACCTCACACTGAGGCCTTTCTCCCACTGAGGTCTTCTCACACTGAGGGCTCCCTCAGACTGAGGTGAACTAACACTGAGGCCTTTTTCATACTGAGGCCTTCTAACACGCTGAATCCCTTCTTCCACAGAGACCTCTCACAGACTGGGTGCTACTAAGCTTATATTGAAATGCAGCTTTTGCTGATTCATTGCATCCATTTAACCCTTTCAGTGCTTGACTCACATTTTTGTAATTAAAAATACCTAGTTAATTTTTAATATTTCTGACATAACTTTATTGACATTGTATAACGGAATTAAATGCCATTCACAATCACATTATATATGCAGAATTACAATACCAAACATCCATCCTTGGACTCAGGGGGTGGGGGCTTTCGGACTGACAGGGTGGTCTCCTGAGATGACTCTAAGATAATAATTTATAATAGTATAATATACTACTACTACTACTACTAATAAAATGATATTATAATTATATATTTTATATTAAATGTAATATTACTAATAATATTACAGTATAATGTTATAATGGCGACAATTTTTATGCTTATATTTTGTTTTGTTAATCTTATGGTTATGTTGTTTTTACTTTGTATGTTTTGTGATGTTACCTGGGAATTGCTCTGAGTCCCCTCGGGAGATGGAGCGGTATATAAATAAAGTATTATTATTATTATTATTATTATTATTATTATTATTATTATACAATGTAATCTATGTATATATAAATGATCTGTGCATAATGAGTACCTTAAAAACAAAAGAACCAATGAATGAAATGACACCAAATTTGGCAACAAAAGTCTCACTCAAAAAATTATGATTTTGTCATTTGGAAGTTGTAGTTGCTGGGATTTGTAGTTCACCTACAATCAAAGAGCATTCTGAACTCCATCAACGATGGAATTGAACCAAACTTGGCACACAGAACTCCCATGACCAACAGAAAATATTGGAAGGGTTTGGTGGCCATTGACCTTGAGTTTGGGAGTTGTAGTTCAGCTCCATCCAGAGAGCACTGTGGACTCAAACAATGATGGATCTGGACTAAACTTGGCACAAGCACTCAATATGCCCAAATATGAACACAGATGGAGTTTGGGGGAAATAGACCTTGACATTTGGGAGTTGTAGTCACTGGGATACACAGTTGATCTACAATCAAAGAGCATTCTGAACCCCACGAACGACAGAATCGGGGCAAACTTTCCACACAGAACCCCCAGGACCAACAGAAAATATTTAAGGCCATCCAATCCAACTCCCTTCATCAGGGCAAGAAAACGTAATCAAAGTCCTCCTGACAAAGAACCATCCAGCCATAGTTAGTTAGATAGATAGATAGATAGATAGATAGATAGATAGATAGATAGAGAGATAGAGAGATAGAGAGATAGAGAGATAGAGAGATAATGATTCACACACACATAGTATCATAGACTGGAAAGAGATCCTTAAAGAAGGACAATTATATGTTGCATGTTCCAGGGTGGGCAAACCAGACAATCTCCACATCAACACTGACAAAGAAACAGCAAGAAATACTGTTTACCCACAAACATAAAGAAATTACATATATTAGAAACCAATACTTTCTCATTACTTTATTTTCCAGATCAACAGACTGGGCCACGGCAATGCATGGCAGGCGACAGCTAGTATATAATATTAATATTGTGCTATGATAATAATATAATATATTGTATTTACTTTTTACTTGTAAGTCACTCTGAGTCCTCTTCGGGGTGAGAAGGGCGGCATATATATGTCGTAAATAAATAAATAAAATAAAATAAGACACCTAAATATATGCCCTCTGCCTCACAGGTACCACTGCAGCCACCACAGCTACTGCCACCACAACTGTGAATCCCCTTACTGGTGGCACATCTGGTCCCACTCTGTTTGCCTCCATCGCAGCCTCCTCCCAGGCAGCAACTACTTCTGCTCCAGTTAGCCTCTTGCGTAAGTGATGGAGGGCCTGGCTCTCATTGGGTCTTGGGTCCTTCAGGCCAGAACTGGGCCAGAGGTGGGGTTGAAGAGCTCTGACATTCAGAAGATTCACTGTCATGCCTACAGTACCCCTCTGCCTTAAACATAACCATCTTTGAAATCTCTGTGTCACATAATTTAGTCAGATCTTAACTCTCTTTGCAGTTGGCACCTCTTCCGCTGGGACAACGGCCCCCACTCTTGATTTGGGGTTTGGCTTAAAGGTTCCTGGAACGACAACGGCAGCGACTGCCCCCAGCATAACTAGTAAGGACTGGTTTTATCAAAAACAAGTCATGCCAGACTAATCTGATCTCTTTTTTCGATAGAGTTACAAGCTGGGTAGATGCGGGGAATGCCGTGGATGTAGCGTACCTGGATTTCAGTAAGGCCTTCGACCAGGTCCCCCATGACCTTCTGGCAAGGAAACTAGTCCAATGTGGGCTAGGCAAAACTACGGTGAGGTGGATCTGTAATTGGTTAAATGGACGAACCCAGAGGGTTCTCACCAATGCTTCCTCTTCATCCTGGAAAGAAGTGACGAGCGGAGTGCCGCAGGGTTCCGTCCTGGGCCCGGTCCTGTTCAACATCTTTATTAATGACTTAGATGAAGGGTTAGAAGGCAGGATCATCAAGTTTGCAGACGACACCAAATTGGGAGGGAGAGCCAATACTCCAGAGGACAGGAGCAGGATTCAAAACGATCTTGACAGATTAGAGAGATGGGCCAAAACTAACAAAATGAAGTTCAACAGTGACAAATGCAAGATACTCCACTTTGGCAGGAAAAACGAAATGCAAAGATACAGAATGGGGGACGATGCCTGGCTCGAGAGCAGTACGTGTGAAAAAGATCTTGGAGTCCTCGTGGACAACAAGTTAAACATGAGCCAACAATGTGATGTGGCGGCAAAAAAAGCCAATGGGATTTTGGCCTGCATCAATAGGAGCATAGTGTCTAGATCTAGGGAAGTAATGCTACCCCTCTATTCTGTTTTGGTTAGACCACATCTGGAATATTGTGTCCAGTTCTGGGCACCACAATTGAAGAGAGATATTGACAAGCTGGAATGTGTCCAGAGGAGGGCGACTAAAATGATCAAGGGTCTGGAGAACAAGCCCTATGAGGAGCGGCTTAAGGAGCTGGGCATGTTTAGCCTGAAGAAGAGAAGGCTGAGAGGCGATATGATAGCCATGTATAAATATGTGAGAGGAAGCCACAGGGAGGAGGGAGCAAGCTTGTTTTCTGCTTCCTTGGAGACTAGGACGCGGAACAATGGCTTCAAACTACAAGAGAGAAGATTCCATCTGAACATGAGGAAGAACTTCCTGACTGTGAGAGCCGTTCAGCAGTGGAACTCTCTGCTCCGGAGTGTGGTGGAGGCTCCTTCTTTGGAAGCTTTTAAACAGAGGCTGGATGGCCATCTGTCAGGGGAGATTTGAATGCAATATTCCTGCTTCTTGGCAGGGGGTTGGACTGGATGGCCCATGAGGTCTCTTCCAACTCTTTGATTCTATGATTCTATGGGAGACAAGGTGGGCTGGGAGGGAGGGGTTCTTCCTTTCACCAGCCCTTGAGCAAAGCGTTTTGGATGCTGTACATACCCACACACCCTGGTTATTGCCATCCCCATTAAATTTTGCACCGGTTCCCCTGAAAGGAGCTCACAATGGCTTACCAGAGAGCTGATCAGCAAAACCCATAAATCGGGGAGTCTGGATTTTATTTCAGAAGCAAAAGAAGTGTTGTAATTCCTAGACTGAGAATACTGTTCATGGCACAGGTTTGGCTCTAAGACAGTGGTTCTCAACCTTCCTAATGCCACAACCCCTTAATACAGTTCCTCATGTTGGTTGGTGGTGATCCCCAACCATAACATTATTTTTGTTGCTACTTCATAACTTTTATTTTGCTACTGCTATAAACTGTAATGTAAATATGTGATATGCAGGGTGTATCTTCATTCACTGGACCAAATTTGGCACAAATGCCTGATACACCCACATTTCAATACTGATGTGGTTGCCGAGGGGGGGGGGAGGGGAGTGAGTTTGCCATTTGGGAGTTGTAGTTGCTGGGATTTGTAGTTCACCTACAATCAAGGAGCATTCTGAACTCCACCAACAATGCAATTGAACCAAACTTGGCACACAAAACTCCCATTACCAACAGAAAATACTGGAAGGGTTTGGTGGGCATTGACCTTGAGTTTTGGAGTTGTAGTTCACCTACATCCGGAGAAGCACTGTGGACTCAAACAATGATGGACCAAATTTGGCACAAATGCTCAATCTGCTCAAATGTGAACACTGGTGGAGTTTGGGAAAAATAGACCTTGACATTTGGGAGTTTGTTTTTTGTCATGTCAGGAGCAACTTGAGAAACTGCAAGTTGCTTCTGGTGTGAGAGAATTAGCCGTCTGCAAGGACGTTGCCCAGGGGACGCCCAGATGATTTGATGTTTTTATCATCCTTGTGGGAGGCTTCTCTCATGTCCCTGCATGAGGAGCTGGAGTTGATAGAGGGAGCTCATCCACCTTTCCCTGGATTTGAACCTGTGACCTGTCGGTCTTCAGTCCTGCCGACACCAGGGGTTTAACCCACTGCACCACCGGGGGCTCTATTTGGGAGTTGTAGTTGCTGGGATTTATAGTTCACCTACAACCAAAGAGCATTCTGAACTCCATCAATGATGGAATTGAACCAATCTGATGGAGGAGCATTTTCTCTCCAACAGGTACTGCCTCTGCACCCAGTACAGGATTCATGTTGAACCTGAAGCCAATGGCCCCAACCGCTACTGTGGCCTCCACATCCACTGTGGCCACCACCACAGTCGCGTAAGTCCAGCAGGATCTTGCGACATTCTGTTTTAATTCTACGTTTAAGGTTTGTATGTTTTTAGGATTTCAATTGTATTGGTTTTATTGTGAGCCGCTTTGAGTCTATTTTTAGAGAGAAAAGAGCAGGATACAAACAATAACAACATGCTAGGGCTCAAGGCTGTTGTGGGCCATACTATGGCCCCCAGGCAGGCCTGGCTCTGACTTGACTATGTCCAAGGGGTGCTGCCCTTTGTCCCTGCCTCCTCCCATGGCACTTCCTCTCACCTTCTAGGGCTCCCCCGGTCATGACCTATGCTCAGCTGGAGAGCCTGATTAACAAGTGGAGCCTGGAGCTGGAGGACCAGGAGAAGCACTTCCTGCAGCAGGCCACCCAAGTCAACGCCTGGGACCGGACCCTTATCGAGAACGGGGAAAAGGTACTTTGAGTATTTTGCCTTATTTATTTATTTATTTATTGTATTTATATTCCGCCCTTCTCACCCCGCAGGGGACTCAGGGCAGATTACAATGCATATATACATTTATTTATTTACTAGCTGTCCCCTGCCACGTGTTGCTGTGGCCCAGTCTGTGTATATGTGTTTTGTGTGTGTATACATATTTCTGTATTTGTATGTTTATATGTGTACATGCATATTGTGTATATGTGTGTGCTTGTCTATATGCATATTTGTGTGTGCATATGTATATGTCTGCATGTGTATATGTTTATACGTGTGTATGTATATGTATGTGCATATATGTGTATATTTGTGTTTTTGCGCATGCACACACACATATACACGTGTGTGTGTATGAATGTGTGCATGTGTATGAGTGTATATGTATATATGGTTTATTTTGGGGTATTTAAGTCTGTTCCGCTGGGGTTTTGTGTGTGTGTGTATGTGTGTGTGTTTATGTGTGATGGGCACTCATTGGAATGTTAGGTGTATTGTGTCCAAATTTCATGTCCAGTGGCTTTTGAGTTATGTTAATCCCACAAATGAACATTATATTTTTATTTATATAGATTTACGACATTTACCGTATATACTCGAGTATAAGCCAATCTGAATATAAGACGAGGCACATAATTTTACCACAAAAAACTGAGAAAACGGATTGACTCGAGTATAAGCCGAGGGTGGGAAATGCAGCAGCTACAACCAGTTATTTCTAGCTTTCAGCTACTGTTACCAAACAAATAGTTAAACAGTTCAAATACATATACCTAGTTTCAATAACTTCCTTACATAGAGTAAAATGATAAATGTAATAATAACAAATAGAATAAAATAATAAATGAAATGAAAATAATAATAATAATAATAACCTTGACTGGAGTATAAGCCGAGGGGGACTTTTTCAGCCTAAAAAGGGCTGAAAAACTAGGCTTATACTCGAGTATATACAGTAATATGCCTTCTCACCCCAAAGGGGACTCAGAGCAGCTTACAAGTAATATGTAAATACAATATATTATATTATTACCATAGCACAATATTAATATTATATATAACTATATTGAACTATACCATTATACTGTAATATTATTAGTAATATTACATGTAATATAAAATATATAATTATAATAGCGTATTAGTATTATATTGTCTTACACTATATTATCAATATTATATGTATATTATATTATATTCATGGGAAACTCTCAATGCCAGTTAGACATACAACTTATATAGACAGATGCAGAGGCAAATTAACATTCCAGCTGTGCCCAAGCTTTTCCGGCTTCATGAGGGTATGCTGGAGTCTGGCTCGATTCTGGTCGTGGGGAGTTACTGCTTCACCGCCCATTGTGACACTGAGTCATTTGATGTTCTTCCTTATTCTTCTGCATGCTGTTGAAGGTGGCGTCGTAAATTAGTTAAATTAGCCTCCCCACATAATGCGGTACCTAAATTTCCTACTTGACAGATGCAACTGTTTTTTTGGCTGCATAGGTCAACAGCAAGCTAGACGAATAGCTGGAAACTCACTCCAACCCGGGTTGTCTTCGAACTCATGACCTCTCGGTCAGTAGTGATTTAATGCAGTTAGCTCTCAGCTAACTGCGCCACAGCCTGGTCCAACTCTGCTGTCCTTCTGTGCTCTGTTCTCCCTTCTGCAAGTTTTTACTTTCTTTTTCTGCTCTTCCCTGTTGAGGAGATGCTGCCATTGCCAGGCTAGCCATTCCTTCCTGTGTCTCTTACAGATAACGTCTTTGCACAGAGAAGTGGAGAAAGTCAAGCTAGATCAGAAAAGGTCAGTTGCCGGGGTGTGTGAAATGAAGGCTTGAGAGGAGTGTTGAGGTGGCTGGCTGTGGGTCTGTCTGGCAGGGAGGGAGGGAGGGAGGGAGGGAGGGAGAGATGGACGTTGGCAATGTTAGGTGAAAACTACCCTAAATATAAAGCAAAGCATCCAAAAACAAAGAGGACACTTCAAGTTGAGCATCAGCTCACTAGCGAGCAGAGCGTGAAGTGCCGTGTGATGTGGCTGACTCCTTCCTTCCTTTCGTCCGATCCAGGCTGGATCAAGAACTGGATTTCATTCTGTCCCAGCAAAAGGAGCTGGAGGATTTGTTGGTCCCTCTGGAGGAGTCTGTGAAGGAGCAAAGTGGGACCATCTACCTGCAGCATGCAGATGAGGAGCGGGAGAAGACGTAAGCTGGGGCCCAGCTGGCACAGAGGGAGACCTTCCCTGGGCAGAGCTTCGTATCCAAATTTGTGGGTCACATGCCCATATCTGGTAGTGGGGTTCTGCTCACACTCCTGAATAGGGAGAGATCAGGCTTGGAGGTTGTTCTGCCCAGCTCCTCCATTGGATAGGGCACCCCATTCCTCATTCAAAGCAGGACAGGCAGTCCTCTATCTGCTCCCCATTTCTGCAAAAAGGCACAGCTTCTGGGAAGAGGGGAGTCCCTGTTCTGGCGGTCACTGCCTGCTGTGGTTGTAGGTACAAGCTGGCGGAGAACATTGATGCCCAGCTGAAACGCATGGCGCAAGACCTGAAGGACATCATTGAGCACCTGAACACCTCGGGGGGCCCTGCTGACACCAGTGACCCAGTGAGTGAGCGCTCTGCTGGGTGGGCTTGGATAGCTACAAAATGGGTTTAAGGCTTTCAGCTGCTTGTTTTTCATACTGTTCGCGTGTAATTCCATTTTAAGGTTTGTATATTTTTAGCTGTTAATTGTATTGTGTTTTTTGTGAAGCCAGGCCCCACTGGGGCTGGGCCCTGAGGCCTAAACCCCTTGCAGGCCTTTTCTTGTCTTGGGCGTCTTTCTTCTTCTTCTTCCCCCAAAGTGACCCTCTGTTCTCCTCTTCCTCCCTCTTCCAGCTCCAGCAGATCTGCAAAATTCTCAATGCGCACATGGACTCGCTCCAGTGGATCGATCAGAATTCAGGTAGTACCCCTCTGTGCTGTTTCTTGGGAACCAATAGAATGGAATAGAATAGAATAACTGTTATTGCCATTGTACAACAAATTTAAATGCCATCCCAATATATGTTATATATGTAGATTTATTTATTTAAGTATTTATGACATTTATATGTCACCCTTCTCACCCCAAAGGGGACTCAGAGCAGCTTACAAGATATATATACATACAATATATTAAATTATTAGCATAGTACAATATCAGTATTATATATTACTATAGTACTACACCATTATATTGTAATATTAGTAATATTACATGTAATATAAAATATATAATTATAATATTGTATTATTATTATATTGTATTACATTATAATATTATAAATATTATATGTATATGCAATATTATATATAATAAATATAAAATTATGAAACTAAACAGCCATCCTTCCACATTCTAATCACTATTGCTCATAATCTAATGCCAGATTAGTATGAAACCGTAGAGTTCAATATAATAATGATAATTATAATAATAATTGTAAATCATCTACTTAGCCAGAAGTTTTGGCTCAATTAGGGAGAGATTTAAGGACTAGAGCATGTTCAGCAAACATTCAGTATAAATCCCAGCAGTCCTGTTATTTATTATGGTTATAAAAGAGGCCACAGTACAGGGTCTGTCATAGCAGTCCTCACCCTAATATAATCTCCACCGCTGCTTCTACTTACGTCCATTCACTACATTGGCAGTGTTAACACCATTGGTTTGCTGTTTCAGTAAACTCCGATTGCAAATTTTGAATTATTTTTGTCTTTCAAGACAACAAGAAGGGGAAGCGCTGCTTTTATTTCGAAAGCCTGCTTCAGTACTCCCGTACTTTAAGGCTGCAATGAAAGAATGATCAGTCCATATACAACCTATGCTGGAAAAGGGATGTGTTCGACTTGTGATTTTGTGATACGAAATCCAGCATATATATCTCGTATGCTGTGTCATTCTGTGTTTTTGTGTCAGTAAAATAATAATAACTTTATTCTTATATCCCGCCCCGTTCTCCCCAAAGGGACTCAAGGTGGCTTACATAGGGACCAAGCCCAATATAAACAAAGGTTATAGAGTAACACAATTAAAAACATATAAAAAACAATCTATATAAATACAAATGTAATGTTTGTTTGTGGGATTAATGTAACTCAAAAACCACTGGATGAATTGATACCAAATTTGGACACAATACACTTATCAGGCCAACAAGTGACCATCACTCATAAAAACACTGAAAGACACAGCAAAAGACTTAAAAAACAAAAATACATTGCAATGCATTTGCAAAACCACATATTTATACGCAAACACACATATATACACAAATATATGTGCACACACAACACATATACACAGACTGGGCCACAGCAACGCTTGGCAGGGGACAGCTAGTATAACCAATAAAATATAGAATATCATAAACATGAACCACACAACAACAAACAACCAATAGCCGAAAAGTGGGCATGTGCAGATTTGAGACTAGTTGGGTAAGACAATCGCTAGTGCAAACATAAAACTGTAGGGCGGCTGAGGGGGAAAAGGAAAGGGCCTGAGGCTGTTAGGAATTCTGGGAGTTGAAATCCAAAACACCTGGAGGGCCAAAGTTTGCACATGCCTGCTACAGAAGCAGTAGGTTAGATCTGCCTCTCTTCTGGGAAGGGGGCAGAAGGGGCAGCGGGCTTCACCTTCATCCAGAGTCCAAAATGTCCCTCCTCTGTGCCCTTGCACCAGCCCTTATCCAGAGCAGCATGCAACTGATGCGTCCCCTTTGTGTGTTTTGCCTTCAGCGCTGCTGCAGCGAAAAGTGGAGGAGGTGAGCAAAGTGTGCGACGGCCGCCGCAAAGAGCAGGAGCGCAGCTTCCGCATCACATTCGACTGAGACAAGGACCACAGGGCCACCTCGCCCCTTCTTAAGGATACTCCTCCCTCCTTCCCTGCTTTTGTATGTCACAATAAAGGTCTTTTCTAACCCAGAACAACCTGCTGCTGCGTGTGTGTGTGTGTGTGTGTGTTGGGGGGTGGGGGAAGAGCGTCCCAGGAACCTCCTTTGGCCAGAGAATACCTTCTCAGCATGTTAAGAGCAATTCCTCCCACATAGCAGAGTATTTAAAAACACAAGTTTCCCAGGCTGTATGGCCATTTTCCAGAAGCATTCTTTCCTGACGTTTCACCCACATCTATAGCAGGCATTCTCAGAGGTTGTGAGGTCTGTTGGAAAGTGAGATTCATATACCTCTGGAATAATTACCAGGGTGGGAGAAAGAACTCTTGCCTGCTTGAGGCAAGTGTGGATCTTGCAGTTGGTCAACTTCATTAGCATTGAATAGCCTTGCAGCTTCAAAGCCTGTCTGCTTCCTGTCTGGGGGATCCTTTCTTGATTGGTTAGTTGGCCCAGATTGTTTCCTTTCTGGAATTCTGTTTTTGGAGTATTTGTCTTTCTTTACTGTCCTGATTTTTTTAAAAAAATACTGGTAAACAGGATTTTAATGCTGGTAAACAGGAAATCAGAAGACGCTTACTTCTTGGGTGGAAAGCAATGACCAATCTTGATAAAATAGTGAAGAGTAGAGACGTCACAATGGTAACAAAGATATGCATAGTCAAAGCAATGGTATTCTCCATAGTCACCTACGGATGTGAGAGCTGGACCATAAGGAAGACTGAGCGAAGGAAGAGAGATGCTTTTGAGCTGTGGTGTTGGAGGAAAGTTCTGAGAGTGCCTTGGACTGCGAGAAGATCCAACCAGTCCATCCTCCAGGAAATAAAGCCCGACTGCTTATTGGAGGGAAGGATGTTAGAGGCAAAGATGAAGTACTTTCGCTACATCATGAGAAGAAAGGAAAGCTTGGAGAAGACAATGATGCTGGGGAAAATGGAAGGAAAAAGGAAGAGGAGCCAACCAAGGGCAAGATGGGTGGATGATATCCTTGAAGGGACTGGCTTGACCTTGAAGGAACTGGGGGTGGTGACGGCCAACAGGGAGCTCTGGCGTGGGCTGGTCCATTAGGTCATGAAGGGTTGGAAGCGACTGAACAAATGAACAACAAAACAGGTTTTGTTCATTTTCATGCTTTCTTTCGGAGCCCCTGGTAACACAGGGGGTTAAACCCTTGTGCCGGCAGGACTGAAGACCGACAGATCACAGGTTTGAATCTGGGGAGAGCACGGATGAGCTCCCTCTGTTAGCTCCAGCTCCCCATGTGGGGATATGAGAGAAGCCTCCCACAAGGGTGGAAAAACATCAAAACATCCAGGCATCCCCTGGGCAACATACTTGCAGATGGCCAATTCTCTCACACCAGAAGCAACTTGCAGTTTCTCAAGTTGCTGCTGGCAAGGAAAAAAAAAGCTTTCCTTCTTTCTCTGTTGACATTGTCCAGATGCTTGTGGAATTCTCCCTACGAACCCCCCAGGAACCTAAGATCGTCTGGGGAGGCCCTGCTCTCGATCCCGCCTGCTTCACAGGCACGTCTAGCGGGGACAAGAGACAGGGCCTTCTCTGTGGTGGCTCCCTGGCTGTGGAACTCCCTCCCCAGGGATATTAGATCAGCCCCCTCCCTCCTGACTTTCCGAAAAAGAGTAAAAACTTGGCTCTTCGAGCAAGCATTCGGAACCCCGGAGTAAACAGACAAACTAGAGTTGGAAATTGACCCAGGAACGGCCAAGACAATGTAAATGGATGAAGATTTGAACAGAGGACATAGTTTCTTTTTAAATTGTTATTATGCACTGTCGTTTATGTTTAATTGCACTGAATGTTTTTGCTTTATCAATGTATGTATTTTGTTTCGGCATCGAATTGTGCCGACTGTATATACCGCCCTGAGTCGCCTTCGGGCTGAAATGGGCGGGATACAAATAATGTAAATAAATAAATAAATAAATTCCAGTATTTATAACCAGGACAGTGAATAAAGAGCAACACTCAGAAAACACGGGAATTCCAGACAGGAAACAACCAAGGTCAGCTAACTCCTCCCAAGAAAGGATCCCCCCCAGGCAGGAAGCAGCCAGGCTTTGAAGCTGCAAGGCTATTCAAGGCAATCGTAAACCAGATCGGGGTATAGGATGGCAACCTGTGCTGGACGGGGTTACACTCCCCCTGAAGTCACAGGTCCGCAGTTTGGGAGTCCTCTTGGACTCATCGCTTACGCTTGAGGCTCAGGCGTCGGCGGTGTCCGGGAGGGCTTTTGCACAACTAAGACTTGTGCGCCAGCTGCGACCGTACCTCGCAAAGGTTGATTTGGCCGGGGTGGTCCATGCCTTGGTCACCTCTAGATTGGATTACTGTAATGCGCTCTACGTGGGGCTGCCCTTGAAAACGGCTCGGAAATTCCAACTGGTCCAACGGGGTGGCCAGGATGTTAACTGGCGCTCCTTACAGAGAGAGGTCAACCCTCCTGTTTAAGGAGCTCCATTGGCTGCCATTTACCTGTTGTGTTGTGTTGTGTTCATTCATTCAGTCGTCTCCGACTCTTCGTGACCTCATGGACCAGCCCACGCCAGAGCTCCCTGTCGGCCGTCACCACCCCCAGCTCCTTCAAGGTCAGTCCAGTCACTTCAAGGATCCCATCCATCCATCTTGCCCTTGGTCGGCCCCTCTTCCTTTTTCCTTCCATTTTCCCCAGCATAATTGTCTTCTCTAAGGATGTTAACTGGCGCTCCTTACAGAGAGAGGTCAACCCGTCATTGGCTGCCATTTACCTACCGAACCCAATTCAAGGTGCAGGTGCTTACCTACAAAGCCCTAAACGGTTTGAGACCTGCGTACCTGTGTGACCGCATCTCCGTTTATGAACCCACGCGCTCACTTCGGTCATCCAGTGAGGCCCTGCTCGTGATTCCGCCTGCGTCGCAAGCACATTTGGTGGGGACGCGAGACAGGGCCTTTTCTGTGGTGGCCCCCCGACTCTGGAACACCCTCCCAAAAGATCTTAGACAGGCTGCTACATTGGCAGTCTTTAGAAAGAACTTGAAGACCTGGCTGTTCCAATGTGCCTTTCCAGAATAGGAAAACTCCAATAACAAGTCCCAGAAGCACTTTATTAGAGTTTAAGACTCTCTGCACATTGCACTTGCCCAGAAATCCAACATACCTCTTGTCACACCCAGCACTTTTTAACCTGTACCCATCACTGGCTCGGCCCTGGTTTTTATTGCATAATGATGTAATGTTTTGCTATTGCTTATGTTTTAATTTGCTTTAAACTGTATTGTTATTGTTTTGCTGTTGTTGTGTTGAGGCCTTGGCCTTTGTAAGCCGCATCGAGTCCTGCGGGAGATGCTAGCAGGGTACAAATAAAGTTTAATAATAATAATAATAATAATAATGGTCAGCTAACACCTCCCAAGAAAGGATCCCTCCAGGCAGGAAGCAGCCAGGCTTTGAAGCTGCAAGGCTATTCAATGCTAATCAGGCTAGCCAATGGCAACATTCACACTTGCCTCCAACAGACAAGAGTTCTTTCTCCCACCCTGGACATTATTCCACAGATATAAAAACCTCACTTGCCTAGTTTCCAACAGACCTCACAACCTCTGAGGATGCCTGCCATAAATGTGGGTGAAATGTCAGGAGAGAATGCTTTATGGAACATAGCCAGACAGCCCGGAAAACTGACAGCAACCCATAAGACTATATTATCCCATTCACACAGGGTAGAGAAAGATGAGAATGAAGGATTCCAGGAAGTGGGATTCCAGAAAGCGCCGTAGCCACGCCCCCTCCTCATGATTCCTTCCCTGCCGGGCGCGGGGCATGCCGGGACTTGTAGTCCGACCGGGACTGGAGAGATTGCCGCGGCCATGAAGAGGTGGGGAGCGGGCAGTGCAGGAAAGCTCGCCCGAAAAGCCCCCTCCCTCCCTTCCTCCTTCTTCTGAAGGCCTTTAAGCAGAGGCTGGGTGGCCATCTGTCGGGAGGGATCGAATTGTATCACTTTGGAGTCTGTTCCATCTCCAGCAATCTCTGGTTCAAGCATGGGCTAACCTCAGCCCTCCAGGCGCTTTGGACTTCAACATCCTGTTAGGAATTGTGGAAGTCCAAAACATCTGAAGGGCCGAATTTGCCCATGCCTGACCTACCTACTTACCTCCTCTCTTTACTCTTTTAAGTAGAGGCTGGATGCTCATCTGTCGGGAGGGATCGAATTGTGTCTCCCTGGCTTGGAAGAAGGGAGTCGGACTGGATGGCCTTTGGGGATCTCATCTATCTATCTATCTATCTATCTATCTATCTATCTATCTATCTATCTATCTATCTATCATAGCAATAGCTGATAGATAGATAGATAGATGATAGATAGATAGATAGATAGATAGATAGATAGATAGATAGATAGATAGATAGATAGATAGATAGCTGGGTGGCCCTCTGCCAGGTGGGATCAGATTGTGCCTCTCCGCTTGGAAAAAGCGGGTCTCATCTATCAATCTATCTCTCTATCATAGCAATAGCTGGGTGGCCTGTGGGCGGGGGGGGGGGGGGCATGTCAAATTGTGTCTCGCTTTTTGGAAGAAGGGGGTCAGACTGGATGAACTTTGGGGGTCTCTATCTATCTATCATCTATCTATTTTTCTATGTATCATAGCAATAGCTGGGTGGCCTTCTGCCAGGTGGGATCAGATTGTGCCTCCCTGCTTGGAAGAAGGGGGTCAGACTGGATGGACTTTGGGGGTCTCATCTATCTATCTATTCATCTATTTTTCTATGTATCATAGCAATAGCTGGGTGGGCCTCTGCCAGGTGGGATCAGATAGTGCCTCCCTGCTTGGAAGAAGGGGGTCAGACTGGATGGCCTTTGTGGGTCTCATCTATCAATCTATCTATCTATCTATCTATCTATCTATCTATCTATCTATCTATCATAGCAATAGCTGGGTAGCCCTCTGTGTGTGTGTGGGGGGGGGGGCATGTCAAATTGTGTCTCGCTCCTTGGAAGAAGGGGTTCAGACTGGATGGCCTTTGGGGGTCTCATCTATCTATCTGTGTATCATAGCAGTAGCTGGGTGTCCTCTGCTGGGTGGGATCAGATCGTGTCGCCCTCCTTGGAAGAAGGGGGTCAGACTGGATGGCTTTTTTGGGGGGGGGGGTCTCATCTATCTCTATCTATCATAGCAATAGCTGGGTGCCCATCTGTCAGAAGGGATTGAATTGTGTTTCCCTGTTTGGAAGAAGTGGGTCAGACTGGATGGGCTTTGGGGGTCTCATCTGTCTATCATAGCAGTAGCTGAGTGGTCCTCTGCTGGGTGGGATCAGATCATGCCGCCCTCTGTGGAATAAGGGAGTCGGACTGGATGGCCTTTGAGGAGTCTCATCTATCTATCATAGCAATAGCTGGGTGGCCCTTTCCTGGGTGGAATCAGATTGTGCCTCCCTGCTTGGAAGAAGGGAGTCAGACTGGATGGCCTTTGGGAGTCTCTATCTATCTATCTATCTATCTATCTATCTATCTATCTATCTATCTATCTATCTATCTATCATAGCAATAGCTGGGTACCCATCTGTTGGAAGGGACTTAATTGTGTCTCCCTGCTTGGAAGGAGGGGGTTGGAATGGATGGCCTTTGGGGGTCCTATCTATCTATCTATCTATCTATCTATCTATCTATCTATCTATCTATCATAGCAATAGCTGGGTGCTCATCTGTCAGAAGGGATTGAATTGTGCCTCCCTGCTTGGAAGAAGGGAGTTGGACTGGATGGCCTTTGGGGGTCTCATCTATCTATCTATGCATCACAGCAATAGCAGGATGGCCCTCTGCCGGGGGAGATCGAATTGTGCCTCAATTCAGAGGCACAATCAAACCCCTCCCAGCCCTGGGGTCCATGGACATCAAGCTTGCTCCAATAAGGGTGGGGTCTTGGCCCTTCCTGGTGCCCCCTGACCTACCTTTCCCCCTTCTGCTCTGCAGGGTCAGCGGCCTCCTGGGGGCCTCCGGGGAGGAGCCCTTGGGGCCCGAGGCTTTGGAGACGGAGGGCGAGCGGCAGTTGCGGAGCCTCCTGCGCCTCCAACTGGACCCCTCGGCCTCCCTGGAGAGGTGAGTGGCCCCGGGCCCCTTCTGATAGCCGAGAGGATCACTTTCTTGTCATTGCACATCGTTAGAGATTATTATTTTTTTGTCGTGTCAGGAGCGACTTGAGAAACAGTAAGTCGCTTTTGGTGCGAGTGAATTGGCCATCTGCAAGGACGTTGCCCAGGGGACGCCCGGATGTTTTGATGTTTTGACCATCCTTGTAGGAAGCTTCTCTCATGTCCTCGCATGAGGAGCTGGAGCTGACAGAGGGAGCTCATCCACGCTCTCCCCGGATTCGAACCTGCGACCTGTCGGTCTTCAGTCCTGCCGGCACAGGGATTTAACCCACTGTGCCACTGGGGGCTCCAGATTAAATAATAAAAACGAGATTAAATAATAATAATACTTTATTTATTTCCCACCCCCTCTCTCAAAAAGTGACTCGGAGCAGCTTACAATCATAAAACAAAACATAATCTATAATATAAACAAGGTTTCCCCTTGACATGAAGTCTAGTTGTGTCCGACTTTGGGGGTCGGTGCTCATCTCTATTTCTAAGCCTAAGAGCCAGCGTTGTCCGTAGACACCTCCAGGGTCATGTGGCCGGCATGACTGCATGGAGCACCATTACCTTACCTATTGATCTACTCACATTTGCATATTTTTGAACTGCTAGGTTGGCAGAAGCTGGAGCTAACAATGGGAGCTCACCCTGCCCAGCGGATTCGAACCACCAACCTATTGATCTACTCACATTTGCATATTTTTGAACTGCTAGGTTGCCAGAAGCTGGGGCTAACAGTGGGAGCTCACCCCATCCCGCGGATTCAAACCACCAACCTTTCGGTCAGCAGTTCTGCAGCTCAGCGGTTTAACCCGCCGCACAACCGAGGGCTCCAAAATAAACCGTAGTCGATAATATAAACAAGGTAGATAACACATCATATTAAAACAAAACAAAAAAAAACACAAAAACTCCAAAACATTAGTAAACAATAATATATATAAACAGTTTAAACAAACATTAAAAGTCCCATCTGGTAAAGATAAGTCATAAAATCCGATTGATTGTTATTAGGAATTCTTACATTTTGACATTGTCAAAGGCCTTTTTTAAAAGCCAAGTTTTTAAATGTCGCCCCCAATATATATTATGTATGTATGTAGCATTACAAAATCTTTTTTCACCCGTACTGGCTCGACAGCAATACGTGTGGAAACGATCTTGGAGTCCTCGTGGATAACAAGTTAAATATGAGCCAACAATGTCATGCGGCAGCTAAAAAAGCCAATGGGATTCTGCCCTGCATGTGTACAGAGGAGGGTGACTCAAATGATCAAGGGTCTGGAGAACAAGCCCTATGAGGAGTGGCTTAAAGAGCTGGGCATATTTAGCCTGCAGAAGAGAAGACTTAGAAAAGACATGATGAGAGACATGTATAAATATGTGAGGAGAAGTCCTCCCACTGTTTTTCATTGTGTGTTGTCTTATTGATAATGTTGTGTATTTTATTGTCTATGTTTTTAATTGCTTGTATTGTTGTTGTTATTGCTTGTATTGTTGTGTTTCTGTTGGCCCCATGTAAGCCGTCAATGACTTAAATCTAGAAATAGTTTTCCAAGATCTACAGAGACACTCGCTGGAACACCTCAGCAAGCGAGAGTCCAAAAGTGGCAGGTTCAAACCCAGAACCTCAACCAATGGCTGATACCAAATGAGAGACTCCCTCCTGGGCACACAGAGGACTGGGCGACCTGGAAGGCACTGAACAGACTGTGTCAGGCACCACGAGATGCAGAGCCAACCTTCAGAAATGGGGCTACAAAGTGGAATCCTCGACATGCGAGTGTGGAGAAGAGCAAACCACTGACCACCTGCTGCAATGCAACCAGAGCCCTGCCACATGCACAATGGAGGACCTTCTTGCAGCAACACCAGAAGCACTCCAAGTGGCCAGATACTGGTCAAAGGACATTTAACCAACTACCAAACTCACAAGTTTTGTATTTTGTCTGTTTGTTTGCTTTGTTCTGTTAGAAATGTAATATAATGGACTGGTTGCTCTGACACGACAAATAAATAAATAAATATTGTTGTGTTTGGGCTCGGCCTCATGTAAGCCGCACCGAGTCCCTTGGGGAGATGGTAGTGGGGTACAAATAAAGTGTTATTTATTATTATTATTATTATTATTATTATTATTATTATTATTATTATTATTATTAGGGAGGAGGGGGCAAGCTTGTTTTCTGGTGCCCTGGAGACTAGGACGCGGAACAATGACTTCAAACTACAGGAAAGGAGATTCCATTTGAACATTAGGAAGAACTTCCTCACTGTGAGAGCTGTTCAGCAGTGGAACTCTCTGCCCCAGAGTGTGGTGGAGGCTCCTTCTTTGGAGACTTTTAAGCAGAGGCTGGATGGCCATCTGTCAGGGGTGCTATTTGTCAGGGGGTTGGACTGGATGGCCCATGAGGCCTCTTTCAACTCTGATTCTAAAACACCCTCCCTTCCATATTCTAACCACTATTGCACAGCCCCTAATGCCACATCAGTGTGAAACCATAGATATAGTTATGACCTCTCAGTGTATTTGTCCTTCTGTTGGGGGGGGGGCTTTCTAACGTTGGAGCTGACACACTCCCTGCCACCCACCTCCCTCCAGGTGCCTCTCGCAGCGCTCCCGCTTTGCCCCAGCCGCCCTCTTTGAGCCTTCCTTTGGGGAGGAGGCTGCCGGGGCCCACAGCCTGAGCCACTTCCAGGTGCTGCAGCAGCGCAGCCGGGAGGAAGACGCCCTCCGGGACTTGGGCCTCTCTGATGCTGAGCGGCGCCTCTGGAGGAGGAACCAGGACGGAGAGGAGCAGGAGGAGCAGGTAGGAACACCCCCTTTATGGGTGGATTGCAAGGGGGTGTCATGTTTCCTCTCTCTCTCCTTCTCACATCGGTCTCCCCATCAATAATAATAATAATAATAATAATGAGGATTTACAGATCGAACTGCAAAGACTCTGGCACAAACCAGTGAAGGTGGTCCCAGTGGTGATCGGCACACTGGGTGCAGTGCCTAAAGACATTGACCTGCACTTAAACACAATTGGCGCTGACAAGATTACCATCTGCCAGCTGCAAAAGGCCAGGGTGGGACAAAGGACTCTTGTCTGTTGGTGCTAGGTGTGAATGTTTCAACTGACCACCTTGATTAGCGTCATTCCACAGATATATAAACCCATTTTCCTACTTCCAACAGACCTCACTACCTCTGAGGATGCTTGCCATAGATGCAGGCAAAACGTCAGGAGAGAATGCCTCTAGAACGTGGCCATATAGCCCGAAAAACCTACAACAACCCGGTTATGAAGTTTACTCCTTGTATTTTGCTATATTTATGGTGGAATCATCCTGACTGAGGAATGTTTTTGAGCCTAACAGCTCAGATTCCCCAACAAAAATCTTTCCCATTTGTCTGCCTGCCTTGCAGAGCCCTGGTCTGGGGGCGGCCCCAGAAGCTCGTCAGGACCGGCTCCGTGTCATCCAGGAGAAGATTGCCGAGCGCCAGCGCATCCTTGCCTTGCCCCAGCGCTTTGCAGGCAGCAAGCCTCTCAGCCGCCGGGAGATGGAAATTGAGCGCTCCCTCTTCCAGGGCACCGACCGGCACACCTTCCTCCGGGGACTCTACCACCAAGGTAGGGGCCCCTTGTCAGAAATATTAAAAAATTAACTAGGTATTTATTTTTTATTTATTTATTTACAGCTTTTATATTCTGCCCTTCTCACCCCACAGGGGACTCAGGGCGGATTACAGTGTACACATATATGGCAAACATTCATTGCCAATTTTTTTACATACAAACATATACAGACATACACAGAGGCTATTTAACTTTTTCTGGCCGCCAGGGGAGCTGTCGCTTTCATCGTCCATCTGCGACGCTGATGAAGCACTTCCGCATTCCCCGCATGCTTCCCCGCTGGAATGCTTTGCTGGAGTCTTCTTTATGGCCTCATAAATCAGTTAATTTAGCCTCCCCACACTTTTTAAGGTGGTACCTAATTTTCCTACTTGACAGATGCAACTGTCTTTTGGGTTGCTGTGAAGATGTGTATTTTTATTCTTATGGTTATGTGTTGTTTAAACAGTAGTTAATAAATGGTAAGTATGTAGAATTATATTTTGTTAGAGATGGTGGCAGGTTTGGCTTGAGCTAAGTTGCCATAGCAACCAGGGCGGAGCCAACTGTCACTTCACTGTGCAGCTGTTTGAAAGTGGCAGTCTGTAAGCTGGTGAGCTACAGGGAAGACTGATTTCTCTAGTGGGAGAATCAGGGAAGAGTCTGTGACCAAAGAGTTACAGGAGAAGGTAGTTGATCCTGTGGTGTGTGGAAAACCATCAGGAATACTATAGTTAGAGAACTATAGGGAAGACTGGTTCTTTAATATTAAGAATCAGGGTTTGGCTGGGAGCCAGTTCTGTTAAATAAGCCTTTTAGCTTATTTGTTTTATTAGGACAGTTGTCCAGGAAAGATACATCTGCTTATAGAAACCTCTTAAAGTCTGTACCTAAAGTTACTCATGAAACCTTACTAATGTAACCTATCAAGATTTGTGCCTCTAGAGAAGAAACATCGAATCTGTTATACCTTGCTTGTTCCAATAAACTTGTTACTGTTTTCCTCAAACCTTGCCTGATACAGTTTCTCCTAAGTCAAACAGCCTGCATAAGAAGTAAAGTCAAACCAGGGACAGTAAACGCTACGCTATCAAATGAATAAAGCCTTCTGTAAATTATAGTCCCTTTATAAACCAGCTCCTAAGCTGATATTGATCATTGCCCGGCTTTCCTCACAAATTTGGTGGCAGTAATTTTACCCTCCTTCACAGTTGCAAAGGTCGACAACAGGCTACACACAATTGGTTGGAAACCCACTCCAACCCAGGCTGGCTTCGAACTCATGACCTTTTGGTTAGAGTGATCTTAATGCAGCTGACACTCAGCGAGCTGCGCCACAATCCTGGTGTAATTACCTGGTCCCTGCTAGGTATTTTTAATTACGAAAATGTGAGTCAAGCACTGAAAGAATCAGTAGGCCGAAGCCTATTAAAGTTAGTGGGCTAAAGCTAGTGTCCCCTGAGGAGAGTGAGTAGTGTTATTTTGCCTGAGGAGAGTGAGTAGTGTTATTTTGAAGGAACTTTGGAGCCCAGGTGACAGATGGAGGGCCTCTCCCTTGGATTGCACAGGTGAGGCTGCGCAGAAGGATTCCTCTGTGACGGAAGGTCCCGCAGCTCGCCTGGAGACGCTCTACCGGGAGGTTCTGGCCCCAGCGACTCCGAGGGAGCCCCTCCCGCCCTCCCCCACACAGGACCCAGGCCCAGCCCCACTTCCAGAACCGGTGACCCTGGTCACACGCCCGGTGACGTTCATCCCGGAAGAGGAGATCCACCAGAGCCGCCTCTCGGTGGAAGAGATCCGCCAGATCCCCCGGTTTGCGTCGTATGACCCTGGAGAACCGAGCCAGGTACCGTCACCAGCAGAGAGGGATGGAATGGAAAGGGGAGGGGTGCATTCCCTGGTCCCTGCTAGGAATGCTTTTTCCTCTGTGGCTTACCGACTCTGGAACTCACTGCCTGGAGAAATTAGGAAAGCCCCTACCCTAGAAACCTTCAAAAAGAACCTTAAAACCTGGCTCTTCCACTGTGCCTTTGTTGAGTAGGAATACAATCTCACATTATTCCTCAGCTTCAATGTTCTGTCATTGGAGTATACATCCCCCCCCCCCTTTCTTGGGAAAGCTTGATTCCACAACCCCCGCTATAATGAGCCTTCCTGCACAAATAACCTGCTTCCCTTTTATCTCGCCTGAGTTTTTAATTAGTTTTTAATTAGTTCTTCTTTTAATGTRGCCCGCCCATTGTCATTGTGTTTGTGCTTATTGTGATCTTATATTGTTATGTATTCACWTGATTTATGTGATTACTAGCCGTCCCCTGCCACGCGTTGCTGTGGCCCACATGGGGGTTCTGTGTGGGAGGTTTGGCCCAATTSTATCACTGGTGGGATTCAGAATGCTCTGTGATTGTAGGTGAACTATAAATCCCAGCAACTACAACTCCCAAATGTCAAGAATCTATTTTCCCCAAACTCTACCAGTGTTCACATTTGGACATATTGAGTATTCGTGTAGAGTTGGGTCTAGATCCATTTTTTTATTGATTTTTATGATTTCCAAAGGTTTACAGTGAAAGTGGGAGAACAATGTGATCGTTAGAGAGAAAGTGGGAAAAGGAAAGTGAAGTATTGGGGATGGGGCGGGAAAGAATGGTCCAGATCCATTATTGTTTGAGTCCACAGTGGTCTCGGGATGTAGGTGAACTACAACTCCAAAACTAAAGGACACTGCCCACCAAACCCTTCCAGAGTTTCCTTTTGGTCATGGGAGTTGCCACATTTGGTTCAATTCCATCATTGGTGGGGTTCAGAATGCTCTTTGATTGTAGGTGAACTATAAATCCCAGCCACTACAACTCCCAAATGACAAAATCAATTTTTTGAGTGAAGGACATACATTGGGTTGTTAGGTGTATTGTGTCCAATTTGGTGCCAATTTGTCCAGTGGTTTTTGAGTTCTGTTTATCCCACAAACGAACAATACATTTTTATTTATATAGATGTTATTGTTGTTACTGTTCGCATTTTCAGTTTGTGTTTTTGGTTTTTCTTTATTGTAATTGTTGTCCGGGCTTGGCCTCATTTAAGCCGCTCCACGTCCCCATCGGGGAGATGGTGGCGGGGTATAAATAAAGTTTATTATTAGTTATTTATTATTATTATTAATGTGATGTGTTCAATCAGAGAGCAGGCTGACCTTCCTCTGCGCAGGCGGCATTGACCACAGCAGCGTGTCTCTTGTGGGCTGTTATTAGGTGCTGTACCTGAAGAACCTCAGTCGGCAGGTGACGGTGGAGGACCTCATGTCGATCTTTGCCAGGTTCCAGGAGAAGGAGGGCCCCCAAATCCGGTTCCGCCTCCTGAGCGGACGCATGCGGGGCCAGGCCTTCCTCACATTCCCAAGTAAGGCCCTCTCCCTCCTTCCCTTATGAGCCCAGGGAGCATGGAGTGTGGGGTGTCTCCTCCGCCCAGAGCGCTGACTCCCGCTTCTTCTTTCAGGCGTCTCAGCGGCCCAGGCGGCCCTGCAGCTGGCCAATGGGTACCACTTGCTGGGGAAACCCCTCGTCATTGAGTTTGGGAAGAGTAAAGGGTGGCCGGAGCCCACACCGAGTCCTGGGACACCTGACCCACCCCTGAAGAGCAAAACATGACCGGTCTGGATGTGGCAGAGAGCATTGGAGGGCACAGAATGGACAGCACCATTGTATCCAGAGATGGAGTTGTTTTCTCAAGAGGAGGACCCCAAAGTGGGGCAGCTCTCTTACTAGATGTTGCTGTTCCCACTAACTCCATTGTGGCATTTTTAGATGGGTCTCCTGTTCTTCTTGCTGAGGAGGGACATGGTCTTGGGCCCAGTAGCTGCTTCACTCAGTTGCCGCTCTGCCTGAAGCAGCAATGGCAAGGCAGCCAAGAACTGAACTGATCCTTTCCTTTGCCTGGTTTGCTACTGGGAAAGAACGAATCCCATGCTGCGGTAGCTCCATTGGCTGCTGGTCTGCTTTTGGGCTAAGTACAATGTGCTGGTTGTTACCTTTAAAGCTCCTAAAGTCCTCAGGCCCAGGCTATTTGGCAAACTGTATCTCCCAATACAAACTAGCTCAGACTCTGTAGTCAGCAGAGGAGACCCTGCTCTCAGTCTTGTCTCAAGCACGGCTGGTGGGAACGAGTGAAAGGGCCTTCTCCGTGGTTGCCCCCCCCCCCACCTCTGGAACTCCCTCCCTAAGGAACTAAAGATGGCCCCTTCCCTCCTCGCCTTTAAGAAACAGCTGAAGATATACTTCTGTTCACCGGCCAACGAGGAGGAGGAGGAGGAATAGATAATGACACTGCTATTATACCTCTGAGTAACATCTGCAATCCGTACTTGGGTCTTTTCTGCCTTGCTAGCTCAGTTGACATCTTGAGCAATGATTAATTTATATGCCCCCAAGGAACTCTGTTGACTCTGGGAAATTGACACTTCTGTTTTTACATTTACATTTTACATTTCTGTTTTTATGCTTGTTTTATGTCCAATATAATAGGTTGTGTTTAAATTTTATTCTAATTTGCTAAGTTATAATTTGTTTTTATATGCTGTGGAGTTTAATTTTCGTTATTGTGTGTCAAAGGCATTGAATGTTTGCCTTTTTTGTGTGATTAGAATCCACCCAGAATCCCTTCAGGGAGATAGGGCGGAATATAAATAAAGATTATTATTATTATTATTATTATTATTATTATTATTATTATTGGGAGGAGGGAGCTCATAGAATTTGAAGAACCTAGCTCACCCATAAGCCGGAGCCCCTGGTGGCACAGTGGGTTAAACCCCTGTGCCGGCAGGACTGAAGACCCACAGGTTTGAATTTGGGGAGAGCGCGGATGAGCTCCCTCTGTCAGCTCCAGTTCCTCATGAGGGGACATGAGAGAAGCCTCCCACAAGGATGGTAAAAGATCAAAACATCCTGCCGTCCCCTGGGCAACGTCCTTGCAGACGGCCAAGTCTCACACCAGAAACGACTTGCAGTTTCTCAAGTCGCTCCTGGCACGACAAAAATAAAACAAAACCCATAAGCCCATTGAAAGGGGTGCTGAGTAAACGTGGGAGGGCTCAAGGCCAATTTTGGGGCGCTGGAATCCTCCTTGGGCCACATTGTGCCCAAAATGCAAAATAACACTGGCAGCTTAAGAAAGTCGGAACACTCCCACCATGCTGTTTTTCCTCAGGTGAAAGGCCATGACAGTATGGGGCTCTGGGGAGGGGGGCATTCTTCCCTCTTGTCCCTCTCTGTCTGTCCTTAAGTAATTAAACCACATTGTCATTCTTTTGACAAGCTATCAGTTGTTTTGTTGGTGGTGGTGACTTGACTCACGAGCTGCCCCTCCAGAGGAAAGGAGGAGGAAGAGGAGGAGAAGGAGGGTGGGCTCAACTCACAGGAGGGGGTGTCAGGTGGGAACAGACCATCCTCCCCCCTCCTCTAGCTATGCCCCCCTCCCCGCTTGGCCCTGTCTTGGCTCCTGTCCAGGCATCTCTTGGGGAGGTTGGGTTCAGCCGTGAGGAGAGCTTAGGAAAGCAAATCTGATTAAAAGCAGCGTCAGCAGCACTTCCTCCTCGGCTTTCCTTTTTTAACTCCAGACATGACACTTTCCTCTCGGCTGCTGAGAAAGAGAAGGCCGAGTGCCTGATTAAGGGATTGCTGTCTGTCTGCTTTAATTACGGCTCCTGATTGGGGCTGTGTTGTCCTCCGGTGAACCTCTGCGTTGGAGGAAGAAGAGATGGTGCAAGCAGCATGCGGAGTGGGCAGCTACATCCCAGGGCCAGGCTCTTCAGGCTTTCCTAGACAGAAGTGGGAGTGACCTGGAACTGCACTGAAATAAGGGCCCTGATACACCCCCTCCCCAGAGAAGGAGGACTCTTTGGGACACACTTTGCTCCCTGTTCTCCAGAGACCCACTTTTACTCCTACTCTATGTTCCTAGTTGCCACCACCATTTCATTCCTGCTTTCCAACTGGATGTCTGTCTCTCCTGAAGGAGACTCAATTCTGCAGATAGAGTACAAAAGGCCAACTGGGTGCATGAAGGAAAGGGCCCTGTCTTACACTTGCATGGCAATTGCATGCACCCTTCCTTGCAGGGCTATTCCAGGTCCCTCCTCTGGATGGCACTGGTGACAATCCTTGGAGAGGGAGGCCTCCTGATCCTTTCCTACGGGAAGCCCCTAGTCACTCTGGAGACTGCTGCGCAGGAGGAAGAGACGGGCGAACGGGTTGGCACAGAGAAGGCTGCCACCAGTGAACTTGGCACTCTTATCCCTGGCATTAATCTAAATGACTTTATTGCTGAGATCTTTTCACGCGGTGCTCCAAGGCTAAAATCCCCTTAAACGACGTATGCCACAGCAATGGAAATGGCAATGGCGGAGGAAGCGCTCTCTCCCCGTAGCATCAACCCCCAATCTGCATGGTCTTCTAATCAAGGGCCAAGAGAGACTCAGTTTTTCCAGCTTTATTTGACAACAGCTCAGCTCACCCCTCCACCAAACCACACGAAAAGTGTCTGCTTTCCCAATGCGACTGGGCACCGTATGCCCTTCCCCCTCCCAGGATCAGATTTGTGGACTGGTCTTGGTACCTCACCTCCCCATTTCCAACCCCTCCCTTTTGTTCCCACTGAAAGTGCTTCCTGCTAGGGGCAAACAGGGTCCAGGATCCCTGCTGTCTTTGGGTTGGAATTGGTGCAGCCCAGAGCAGCCCTCCAGGTTCAGCCTGGCATATTGGTGCCCAGCCCGCTCCCTTGGAGAAGAGGAAGGAAGAGGAGGAGGATGTCTGGCTGGCAGGTGGACATGGACCCAGTCACCCAGAGTGGCCTTCTCCCTCCCTCCTGCCCCTTCCCCACCATGAGGGTCTCGCTAGGTCTTCTGGCACTTGCCATCTCCCATGGTTTCCTCTTCTCCCTTTGCGACCAAGTCTTTGGACTTGGGCAAGAACATGGTGGACGGTACTGGTAGTCCTGGAGAGATACAGAGCATCCGTGGGAGGCAGAAGCACCTGGCAGCCAGCCCACCAGACTCCCTCCCTCCCCCTCCCTGATGATGTTTATTATTCCTTGCCAAGGCCAGGCTGTTCCTGCTCTCCTCCCACGGGAGACTGGAGGGTAGGCGGGCAGGTGGCTCTTCAAAGCCAGAGGTCGGCGGAGGTCATTGAGCGAAAGGACACACTTTGATCCAGCCCAGCCCTGGAGCCCTTTGCCTCCTGAGCTTGGCCTGTTTCCCACCTGCAGGAAGCAGTCTGGCAAAGCATAAGAGGGGTTGAGATAGGCTGTGGTCACTGCCTATGAGCTCTGCTACTGAAGTACAGCACCACAGGGCTCAAAAGAAGTCTCATTTAGCCGCCCTAATCTAGTTGTGCTCACCAGGAAGCCTGGGGCGGGCAGCTGTGCTACTGCTCCATTGGGATCCACCATCTGCCCTCCCCACATCACACCTCCAGTCTCCCCACAGAATGCCCACCAGTTCCTTCCAGTCAACAGTGCCCAACTTTGGGCCTAGCAATCCTGACTGGTGCCTGCCCGTTCTCTTCACTCCTTTCCACTTGGTCAGTGTCCTGTGTCAGGGGCCTGCAAGCTGGAAGATGGGAGAGAGGGCCTTGAGGCAGGCCCACTTGACAGCTGTCCATCTTGGCTGCTCCTTTCACGCTGGAAAGCAGGTTCCTCCAGAGGAACTTTGAGACCCTCAAAGAGGACAGGGGTCATCCAAAGTGGTGCTTGAGGAAAAAGAGGTCCTGGCAATGGCAGGGTGGAAGCACAGGTATAGGGGAGCAGGGGAACTGTGAACGGCTGCCTCCCTGCCGGCTTACCTGTCCAGTGCCTTCAGGTAAGCAGAGGGCTGGGCAGTCAAGGATCTGTGAGCAGCAGTCCACAATGGTCTGTAGGTGCCAGTCTACCTGCTATTACACATATCCAGTGAGGTTGTAGGCATTGAACTCACTCTTAGTCTTTGAGATGGGAGTTGCCCCTGTTGTGGCGGGTGGGGGGCTCCGTGTGGGTATCGTCTGGGCACGGTAGGGGCTGTAGCGGACAGCGGGTGACCGGTGGTCCCGGGCTGGACAGGACGCACAGAGGATGAGCCCCCCAATGAGGGAGACCAGGGAGGAGAAGGCACCCAGGTAGAGGGCCTCGCCCAGCTCAAACTTCATGCTATCAGGCACCACAGGGTTATAGAAGTCCCTGAGCACCACGTGGATGTTCCAGGCCACGGGGATGAAGGACAGGAGCCCCCCCAGCACAAAGGCCACCCCTCCGGCCACAGCCACTCGGTCCTTGGACGGAGAGCCCTGGGCGAAGATGGTGCAGCGCAGACCAGCCACGCAGAGGAGGGCAGCCAGCAGGGAGACTGCGATGGAGGTGGACATCAAGGCCTGGGCAGCCTGGAGGTCAGAGGGCAGGTTGAGTAGGGAGCTGTAGATGTCGCACTGGGTGATGCCGGTGCTGTAGGAGGCACACTCCATCCAGAGGCCCTTGGAGAAGCCCACCGCCGTCACGATGCTGGAGCCGATGTAGGCACTGGTCCGCCAGCCGGGAAGGAGTGTGGCAATGACTGTGCCCAGCAAGCCCAGCAGGCTCAGGCTATAGCCCACCAGCTGCAGGCCCACTGAGGCCATCCCCACCTGTCCGTCCTGTGCTGGGCCCAAGGCCTCCAAAGAACTGTCCGTCCGCTCGTCCGTCCACTTGTCCGTTTGCCCTTCGCTGCCCCCTCCCCTGGCTGCAGAGAGCGAAGTCTCCTTGGGTGCAGCCGCCTCCACAGCCGGCCGGTCTCCTTCAGGACAGCTGGAGAAAGGCTGGGAGATGGCAACAGTTGGGTGGGAGGGAAGAGAGAGCTTTATCTGGGAGACAGGAGGGAGCGGGAGGGCACACTGGGTTAATGATCGACCCATGGCTTCAGAAAAATGCACAGTGCTCTTCCTACCTTCACCCCGTTATCTATATGTAGAAATTATGTTTTGAAAAGTCCAAACCCACATGCAACCTCGTAGGAATCACAAACGGTTTGAGGAAGCAACCGCTTCAGACTCTTCAGGCAATAAGTGATGTGCAGAACTTGGAGTGAGTGAGGTATGGCGCTGTCTCAATGATGTGCCCCCTCCCACTTGTACTTGGCCCTTGAATGCTGAATGGGCATCTGGCAACAGCCTGTTGGAGTGTGTGTGTATGTGTGAGAGAGAAGCACACACTTGATTCAACCAAGATGGCGTTCTTCCTCCCAAACACACACACAACCCAGTTCCAAGTTGGAGGAGTGATCTCTGCTCCCCACCAGTGGCAACCATTCTTTCCGCCTCAGCCTGGGCTCTATCCTTTGGAGCAAGAAGATCCACGCTGGGAGCCCCAAGTGGATGATGACCTGGTTTGGCCTCTGGTCCCAACATGGTTGCCCTTGCCCTGTCCCCTTCCCTGGCATGGTTTCTCTCTCCTTCTGCTCCCTTCTAGCCAGCTTCTTTTACAAAGGGAGGGAGGGAAGGAAGGGGAGAGGGAGAAGGGTCTTGCCAGAGGAGAGCTGAGCTAATAATCGCTCTCAGAATGGACCGGGGAAATGAGGACAAGGACCTGGAGGGGACGGACCTGGAGGGGACGGACCTCTCCCTAGACGGCCTGCCCACTCTTGCTTCCCAGCACAGCGCCCACCCCACCCAAGACCAGGGGACGGGGGCCACGAAGGTCTCCATAAACGCCTCCCCTTCCCATCTCCTCTTCCAGGTTGGCAACACAAAGGTAAGGAGGCTGTTGGGTTTCATCCCTGGACTGCCCAATATCTTGTGTCATCAAGTCTCCAGTCCTCAATGAGTAGCTATACTAGAGATAGGATTAGGCTGAGGGATCCCCCCCCCCCCCCACACATTCCTATGCACGTTTCCCAAAAGGGCTTTGTATTTCCTCCTCCTACTAGCCACTCTCTCCTCCCCCTTTGAAGATGTAGCAATGGAATCTCTGTGAAGGAACTTCCTTTTTAAAGGTATTTTTATTACCCTGGGCTGGCCATGTGGCCATTCGCCACCATTGTGTCTTCTGCTTTTCCTTCCTTCTAGTGAGAATGCACATTTTGCTTCTCTCTTTAAGCAAAATGTAGCTGCATGGATTTTTTTTTAACTTTTTACCCTTTTACCTTTCTTAGAAGATGGGATTTAGGAAGCTAGTTAGTGTATTTCTTTTACTTCAATAAATATCTTTGAACCCAAAGTTCTGAGTCTGCAATCCTGTTCCATTCTAAGAAATAGAGGCTTATCCCAGTTTCACCACACGTATGTTTCTGCCGGTTATGAAGTTTGCTTCTGGTACTCTGCTATATTTATGGCAGAATCACCCTAACTGAGGGTTATTTTTGAGCCTAACAGCTCAGATTCCCCCGCATATTCCAAGGGCCAACTCTTGCTTCCCAGCACAGTGCTCACCCACTGCACTCTGGGAAGGTCTCCAAATGTCCTTTCCCTCTCTGTCTTCTCTCCCAGGTTGGCAACATGAAGGTTAGGAGGCCCCAATTGCTGGGGCAGAGGTGCCTTGGTGGGAAGCCCTCCTCCCCTGCCTCCTCCTTTGGAGGGTTCCCCAGTGGCCCTCCGCTTCTGGCTTTATGCCTGGAATCTACCTGTATTCAGCTGTCTCCTCTTCCTCTTCCAATTCCCTTTGAAATGCACATGCAGCTTTCCCAGGCTAAAAGATTTTTTTTTTGTCATGTCAGGAGCGACTTGAGAAACTGCAAGTCGCTTCTGGTGTGAGAGAATCGGCCGTCTGCAAGGACGTTGCCCAGGGGATGCGCGGATGATTTGATGTTTTTATCATCCTTGTGGGAGGCTTCTCTCATGTCCTCGCATGAGGAGCTGGGGCTGATAGAGGGAGCTCATCCGCCTCTCCCCGGATTCGAACCTGCGACCTGTCGGTCTTCAGTCCTGCTGGCACAGGGGTTTAACCCACTGTGCCACCGGGCTCCGGCCCAGAGAGGTGCCTCTTTGCTGTTTGGTTCTCACAGCTGACCCAGCCCACCAGACGCTTCCCTTTCTTTGCACAGGAAGAGACCCAGAGTCTTTTGCTGCTATGGTTCTCTTCTTGGAAGGAGGAGGAAATAGGGAAAGGAGCAGAGCTATTTCTGGGGAGCTGGCTCTCCTGCAGCCAGGATGCCCATGGTCTGGCCAGAGGGTGACCCATCCTCCCTTCCTGTCCCAGAGGGGGCACCCCATGGCAACTGACCCCACGACGGGAGGGGGGCTTACCTTAGGGCTTGCTGGAGGGCAGGGAGGCTGGGTGGTCAGGCGCCTCCTCAGAACAAGGCCGGAGGGAGGCTGAGGAGGGCTTTCTAATTTTTCACTGCAGCTTTGCCAAATCCACCCGCAAATCATGGCTCGGGGGCCGAGGCTTAGTCCAGATCACAATTAAACCCTTTAAAGACTCGGACAGATCAGGAACCGTGAGGCCTGGTCTTTTGCCTGCAGACTGACCCCCATTGAGTGGACCTGAGCTGTTATGGGTCCTGGCAGGGGCAGAGAGAAGCATGTTTGGGATGGAGGGGAGGCTGGGCCCCTGGGACCACACTGGGATCAGAAAGAGCCAAGGGACCTCTGGGAACTGCAAGGAGGAGAAGGCCCTCCCCTGCCTTTCCTCCCAGGCAGAGGTGGCCCTAGGTAATTTTCAATGGTAAGTAAACAGTATTTTGGCGCCCCCCCCCCAACCAATCATTGATATGGAGCAGGAACAAGAGGGGCTAAGCGAGGCTCAAGGGCCTGGCCCCTTCGGGAAAAGGATCGCCTGGCAGTGAGGCAAGGAAGCCGAGGCTCCCCTCAGACTGCTAGGGCTGTTGTGAGCCGAGGGGGTGCTCCACAAGTGGCGGTCGAGGGGCATTTACAGAGGAGCCTCTGCGCCAATGGCAAAAAAAAAAGTGTACCGCAACCGCTTACATTGCGTAATGGACGAGCCGCCCCTGCTCCCAGGATTGCCCTTGTGCCAAGTGAGAAGCAAATGGCGCAAATGGCCTAGGAGCCAAGGGAGGGGAGCCTTGGTGGGTCGTGTTGGGTGAGTGGGCTTATTAACAAAAGACCCTCCTCATAAATGCACAGCAGAGTAATTTATTAGCAGCAGCATGACCCAGCACCAGTAGCCCAAAGTGATAAGGACAAAAATACACAGACCAATGTTATCTCTTCCTTAGGAGGCATTTCTTTGTGGTAAAATAATATGGTTGTACTGTTTTTT